GCGCTTCTTTCAAGAAAATTACCATATAAGGAAATTTTCAAGAAATCAGTGGTGAACGGGTGAGAGTTTTTTTTTTTGATATTTAAAATTCTTTTCTTTGACTGTATTATATATATATATATTATATTTATAAATTTTAAAATTTTTTAAAAAAATTTTTTTTTACTTTAAATATTTATTTTATCAAATAATAATAATAAATCAATAAAAATAATTATAAGTAAACTTGTTTTTTATATTTTGAAAAAATCATTTTTAATCATTTATAAAATTATAAATATATATATAATTTCAATTTTTTTCTTAACATATTATATATAGGTTGTAACCTACTTATATAAATTTATAATAAATTTAAATATTGAAGTTATATTGAAGTAATATTGAAATAATATTGAAGTGATAATAAAATGATATTGTTAGAAGCCCTAGTTTACTCTAATAGTAATAAAACTTATATAACTGAATAAAACTATAGATAAAAATATGAGTTAACTTAAATAAATCTTATAGTTATATAATTGAATATAAATTATTTAATAAAGTTCATATGCTACTTGTATTTTTGCACCTGGAAAAAAAGTATAATTGTTATATTTAAAAATTTATATATTGAATTAAAAAGAATTTATTTTTTATTTTATTAATAACAAATATTAAAATATTTTATTAATATATATAAGTCAAAAATATATTCAAATACTTAAAATAATTTATAAAAACAATTTATATTTACAGTAGATATACATAAATAATTAATAATATAATTTATATTTATTATTAATAAATTTTTTATTAAGTTTTTTGAGTTTCATATATATTAACATAAATTTAATAGGCTGATGTTAAATTATAATGTTTAATGTACTTTTGAATATTTCTATATCAATAAAAAGTAACATTAAATGCCAGTTAAAATAATAATAATAATAATAAAATAAAATAAAAAATTGTTTGTTTTAAAACTATACACTTTACATGCATAATTGTTTGACAATTTTTAAATATTTCAGTAAAGATTGTAAGAAATGATTCAATTTATAAAAAAACAAATAATCATTGTATGGAATTTCATTTATGAACATGGTTTTATTTAATTACTTAAAGATTTATCTATTTTGTATTTTATGAAATTGATAAGAAAAAATAATTTAATTGTTATGATTAAAATAGAATAATTAAAAAAAAAACTCTTATTGTATGCTAAATTAGTTATATCAATGAATGATATTTACAAAAAAAAGTTTAATTATTGGTCAAATAAATTCATCAATATATTATAATTCATATGCATTATAGTAAAATTATAATTGTTAAATAAAAAACGAGATAAATTGAATAGCCTAATCCAATTATATACACATAATATAATCGTCTAAATCTTAAATGTAGTTTCTAAAATTTAAGACTTAATCTTTATCACATTCATTCCATCCTAGTTGTGTATATAACACATGTTTCATCTGACTATATAAAACATATTGTAGACTTGATCATACTATAATGTATTTTGATAGGTCGTTCATAATTTAATTATAATTTTATTAAAATAATTTTAAACCCATTTTCTAATTAGATTGCTTTTGTTACACGAATATTAAACCCTCCATAATTTGATGTTGAACCTGAATGATTAGAATTGAAAGGGACAAAGAGAATTAAAGTGTACATTTATCTTCTTAGCCTAACAAAGAATGCATTTTTGCACTCTAAACTTCCATCGGGCAAATACTTGTCATAAAAGTTCACGATGAATTCTTCTGGTTTAAAACCGAACTTCTGGTAAAGAATCTAGATATAAAGAACTAGAATTTTAATAAACTCCCAAGACATTATTGATAAAGAAAGTTCTATTTACCATTGCCGGATTATTTGCCGACACGTGAAGTGTGACATCTTTTCCCATGTTCGTCTATTTTATGAGTAGATTAATAATCGTCAATAGCTAATAAAAAGAAATACTCCGACCAACCAACCTGAATCAAGTGATATAACATAAATCTATATGTATATTAATATAAATGTCAGTAATTTAATCCATATATTCAATAGCGCATTTAAATCACATCAAATACTCACTGTCCTATTCCTGACTTTTGCCATCCAGGTAAAACAGCAATATACGTGATGTAAGCTTCTGGTGTCATGAACCCGCATCCAATTATCAACCGTTTATACATTGCAACGACACTAAAATCCGGAAAAAGGAGATTCTCAGAAACTAGAGCAAACACATTTAATTAATCTATTTCTTTTGATTATATATTAATATCATCTTGGTAACCAATTAATATACTCACCATCAATGCCTGGCCAAAAACATCGTTGCAGTAAATCATTAACTTGACTCAGATGTTCTTTTTGAAAATAGCAAAAATCGATAGAACTAGAAGGCGGCGGTAACCAATCGGGATCATTTCTGCACACCGGGTTATATTTTTGATCAGTATAGCTACAGTACCACTATGATAATTCAAGTCTTAGAAACTATTGAACTCAATTATTAATATACCGATGAGCATATTTGGCAATGTCTTGTAGCAAACGCAATTTTGGTGGTAAGGTCTCATAATCTCGACGAATGTATGGTCTCAATTTCCTTTGTAGAGGGCTAGTCCAGGCATCCTCTGAAGTAAGTGTATTTGATAGGCGTGCATTACCATATAATCTTGATGCGAAAGAATTCTTATAAGGCGTAAACATGATCTATCGAACATAACGACTTTAATGATTTTTGAAGAGGACAATGAAAGCTGTGTCGTTTCCCTACTTTTGAGACTTGATTTGTGACGTCGATATTTTTCCCTCTATTATCTTCGACAACTTTAGTTTGCTTTTCTATTTCGTAAAATTCTTCTTGTAATGGTGACAAGATTTCTAAAGGCGTTGAGGATCTCATATGTTCCGAAACAATCGTATCAATATCAAAGATTTTCAAACCTAGTCCTCGCTTAAGCTGTAATGTCAATTTTGAAGCGACGTTAATCTCTAGTTAAATACACGTGTTTTCTCCAATACCACGTTACCTACCCTTCGTAGATGTAATTTTCTTTTTAACCTGACAGCCTTCGGTGATAGAGGCTTGGAAACATTATCTAATTTTATTAAAAGATTCCATTCTTCTTTGTGATCCAAAGGAATGGGCTTCCTTTTCCGTGGTGGTTTCACACCATTCTATGTTGCGCGGAAGATATGAATAATCACTCTACAAATGTGGCATTTAATAATCGACGTCTATATACATACGCGAATTTTGTCTTCGCGTATAATCAACTTTAAACGAAGTGGTTCGGTTACCTCTTCTAAACTTTCATTAACCTAGGCAAAGTTAAATAATAAGTGAATGGTATGAATGGCAGTTTAAGGAGGGGAACAATCGGGGTAGGTTATATACTTCGTTACTATCGTCTTTAGATAACGCAATCTTTTTTCGTCGATCAGCAGATCGCAAAGCCCAAATGTCGGGAAAAAGCCTCTGTGGAACAAAAGTGTCCGAGAAATCTTGAAAGTGTGTCGGTAACACAGGACACACAGCAAAAGTTGAACGAATTTTACTTGCAACAGTTGTTGGTGGCCTCCCGCGACGTTTTTTTACTGAATACATATTATCAATATTATCGATACAGAATCTACAGAGCAATCCTAAATATGATTGGCTTGCTGTAAAACGTGATTCATCCTTCCTTTCCTAGTAAAAACAGTATATACAATGAGAATCTACTTTTAATTAATAAGATAACTCGATTGATTTCTTTTACTTTTAAGTTATCGGTTAGACATTTTAATAATTACAATACTTGAAAGTTCAGATTTATACTTGTAATTCGAGCTAGAACCATCTAGTTATTAAAAATGTTTAACACCTCAAATCCATCCTGTGAGATTTTCTTCTATATGTTAAAGCATCATGTGTGATCAAAGTAAAAATCCTAATTCAAATTTTGCTTGTGCTAAATACAATCTATGACTCCAGACCTTTTATTAATCCGCTCCCCCAACCCACCAAAACCCGTTTGCACTCTTTCTTAACGTGACTTGCTATCGGAGACTTCCATATACCCAAGGCTACAAATTGTCGAGCATAATGGAGACACGTTTCCCGTGAGAAATTGATATACATGCGGCTATCCATGACTCTCTATTGTGTCAAGTACATGCAAGATGAGCACAAGAAGGAATTAAATAAAGACATTTCATACATATGCATGTATATATGTAATATACCAACCTGCCATTTTGAATCTTCATAGGTAATAAGGTGAGAGTTCGGATTGAAATTATGTCGGATTACAAAACCATCGTGGAGTACGTATAATTCCGATCCACTGATATACATTTGAAATAAGCACGCCGCTTTATTGTTTTCAAGTCGTTCCGTACACCTGTGTTGGAGATTGCAGGTTACTATTGGACAGTCATTTTTCTTAAATGAAGATAAAAAGATCACACAAACCATGGAGGTCCACTCTTTCTCGATACAAAATTAGGTCTGTAATACAATTCATATTCCTTAATCATATAAGGTTGATCACTCTTGAAGTATATAGACATATGTGTAGGTCCATGATTAAGTTCCCATCCGTCATCTTGCATGACCATAACCTGATTTCTTACTAGGGCGCGGACTTGTCGTTTTGTTAGAGGAAGCGTGACACTTTCTTCCGTAGTAATATTAATGAACATGAAGGTAGGAATTATAAGTATATCGTTGTTTAACAGTATTCTTCCATTTTCCTTAATATATCTTTGCAAATCTGGTGATGGCCAAGTGTCGTGATCCAGGTAGAAAATAAACTCGGAACGCGCAAAAGATCTCGCTAGATTAATATAAAAATTGGATGGTGTGGGGTATGTGGTGAGATTGTTTCCTGATAAAGAAGGACCAATCACAAGATGTATGTCAACATATTTTATTATGTCCGGATGGGTGAAATATATGTTCCTTAGCGCATTTATCGTTTCTTGTGCTAAGGGATCAATGTTTAATTTTGGAGGTAAATGTAGAACGGCTGATATCGGACCTGTAATTAAATATTTTAGGAGTTAAAACAACTACGACTTCCGATAATGTTTTATTTTATTGCATTCGAAATTCCTATTCACCTTTCCACATTGTAGCCAACTTGGCCAAGTCATCTACCCGGTTTTTGGTGACAAATGTAACAACGGTTACATCATCTTTTTTAAACCTCGATTCAGCACGGAAATAATGTGGATATATGTGATCGGTTAATGCGTGTGATAAGTGTGGATACATTTTCGAGAATACAAGTCCGCTTTCCATCTCAGAGAGTGGTGAACTATTGTTTGTGTCTGCGTGACGAACTAAATATTAAAATTTGTTGACGAACCATTGATCATCGAAAAGAAGTAAAATAATTTTACCATAAGTTCTTAGAATGGGCTTTTCAAGCCTTATGTTTTCTGGATGCTCGAGAGTATACTTTGCTAGTTGTGTCAGGGAAAATATAACGGAGAACATTACATAAATTACAAAAAAGTATTTGACCATTTTTGATTTCCAGAACCAAAAAAAACAAATTTTTGGCATGGAGACAGCCATTTCGAGTAAGCGTGTTTTGTTTCCCTCGATATATTAGTGTATGAATCTATCAACGAGTAAATTTGTAGTAAATATAATGGTAATATTGCATATGGTACAGTCTGCAAAGATATACTCAATGTTGAAAATAAGTGAGAGATTGACTTTTAACGGGAAAAAGTTTTTTTTTTTTTTTATTATATAACGCAAAAATTATTTTCCACGACGTACTTTTTTATGTAAGCCATTAATTATTAGATTTTAGACTAATACTAACAAAGTTTCATAAAGGAAGAGGAAAAAGAAATGAGTATGCATTTTGATTCTCCGTAATAAATAATAATACCCGACTTCCTTATTAAGTTAGGATGGTTCGAAATTAAATAATAATAATTCCGATCACGTTACATCTAATTTTATCTTTGCGCGAATTGCTAAATATACATATGATATGATAAAAATTCTATTATGCAAAATCTCAATGCGCACTTTCACCCCACTTCTTTAATCTTATGCTTTGAATCTTGATAAACCCTTCGGAATCCACTGGACTGAAGCCACCTTGAACGTCCATTGAGCTTTCTTCCATGTCATACAATTTCTCAGTATCTGACTTACGACCTTCAACGATGACATTGCCTTTATATAGCTTCAATTTGACTTCTCCGTTGACTGTTTTTTGACTAGCCAAAAGAGACGCCGAAAGGAATTCACGTTCGGGTGAAAAGTACTGACCATTGTATAAAATATGTGAAAATTGTGGAGTAATGAATTGGTCTCTCAAAGATCGAACTTGGCGATCGAGAACCAGACCTTCTAGATCTACGTGAGCAGCACGAAGAATAGTGCCACCAGGAGTTTCGTAACATCCTCGACTCTTGATACCGATGAAACGATTCTCGACTATATCAATTCGTCCGATACCATTTCTTCGTGCAAGGGTATTAAGATAGATAAAGAGTTCGAGCGAATCAGTCACCGTGGTGCCGTCGTTATGATTCACAACTTTTACGGGTATTCCTTTGTCAAATGTAATAGAGATACGCTCGGGTGTGTTGGGTGCGTCTTCGGGATCAACGGTAAGTTTCCACATGTCTTTTGGTGGTGTTACATTGGGATCCTCGAGAATACCTGCTTCGTAGGAAATATGAAACCTGATTGTCACAGGAAAAGCCAGTTCTGATTAATTACAAACTTGAATTCAAAATACATTGACAAATAAAACGTGACAAATACTAACAGGTTTTCATCAGTGGACCATGGTTTCGCAGCGGTTTGGACAACTGGTATTCCTTTCTCGGCGGCATAGTTTAGAAGGGCCTGACGACCAGGGAAACGTTCGTAGAATTCTGTTTAAGAATTTCGTGTTATTACGCACTCCTCTTTTTTTTTTTTTTGAAAACAGTTAAGAATCGTTTGATGACTTACCAGGAATGCGCCATGGAGCGATCACTTTAATGTCAGGCTTCAAAGCATAAAATGCCAATTCAAAACGAACTTGATCATTACCCTTTCCAGTGCATCCATGAGAGACAAATTGACAATCTTCTTTTATGGCAATTTCAATCTACATGTTTACGCGATGTTAGAAATTTTTTTTTTTTTTTAAAAAAAAAAAAAAACTACAATTACAAAATTAACCAATCACCTGACGACGAGCAATCACGGGACGAGCAAGAGAAGTACCCAAGAGATAGACATTCTCATAAATGGCATTGGCTTGAATTGCGGGGAAAATGATCTCATCAACGAAAACGCGCCTTAAGTCCTAAATAGAAATTTACTTAATCAGTATAATTCCTTTTATATGACAAGCTGCAATTATGATGGTTACCTCAATGTAGACTTTCTTTGCACCAATTTTTAACGCTTTTTCCCTAGCGGCTTCAAAATCCTCTTCTTGACCAAGATTAGCCATGTATGCAAGGACTTCATATCCTTGCTCAATGAGCCATACCAGAATGCAAGATGTATCCAAACCACCGGAGTAAGCGATAAGAACGCGTCCCTTAGACATTATGTATTTATATATTTGATTTTGTGAATTTTTTGTTGGAAATCGAGAAGACAACCGAGAGGCTCATTTTATATCTGATTTTATTATTGGAATTATATAACAACTTTATGGCCAGAATTATCGCGTGGTGCTGCGTAATCCTGGTGATATGATCCGAGATTGATGAGACGATAATCATCATCTGTAGTTAGGATGGTTGATTATCGCGTAATACCCCGTTTACGCCTCCAAATCTAATTGAGATCTTTAACATTAGATCTTAACACAACATGCAATAAAGAAAAAAAAACAATTAAATAAATCTTATTGTTAACTTTTTATTTTAACAAGAACCATGGTTTCAGGCTAGAAAGGAAGGATTATGTATTTTCAAAAACCAATCAATATTCTGATTTTTTTTATCATTAGACATACTGTATAACATCTTTTCTAACTATTCCCCTAATTATAATTTAACTATGCGATTAATATTAATAAAAAAAAAGGCAAATATATATTGTATATATATATACGTTATATTGTTATATAATATAAAATTAATAATAATTTGATTTGATTTATTGGATTTGATTAACAAAAATGGTTTTATAATTATGATGCCAATAAAATTGAATATTGTTAAAAGTAAAACAGCTTTACCTTTTGCACTTTCTATGATTTTATCATTTTTTTTATTTTTTGTATATAAATAAGTTTTCAACATTCAAAATTAATCTTAAAAATATTGATATAAAATTACAATATCAAAAAATAAAAAATTTAATATAAAAATAAATCTAAAATATCTATATATTGTATATATATTTGATAGATATTAAATATAGAACTCTATTAAATTTTTGTTATTTACTATTATATTAAGATAAAATACATATATATATTAAAAATTTTTATAAAAAAATATACATATACATATATATAATAATTGGTTATTAGTTATATTATAAATTAGTATAATGTAATAAAAATTAATAAACAATTGACTGTATCAAAAAGAAAATATAATTATAATTATTTTTTATTTTTTATATAATAACAATATTGATATATTAATCTTAATATATATTTTAAAATAAATCAATAATAACAAGCCAATATAAAAGAAATTTAATATAATATAGCATGTAGCTAAAATAGTTTATAGATGATAAGTCTTGTAAAAAAATATAAATATAAACAAAAAAGTATACTAAGTAAAACCTTGCTAGTTAATATATATATATATTATAAATCAATATATATATTTATTAAAATATTAATAATAATTAAAAAATATAGTTGAAAAAGTTAAGTTTATTTTTTGGGGGTTTCCTTAGTAGGTAAACATTATTTCTTTATTTTGATTTGTATATAACAAGGTATACATTATACATGTGGTGTAAATTATTTTGCTGTTGACTCAATTCCCAAAATCCTTAAAAATAATTGCGTCATGACTCAATTATTTATATGTTTTAATAGTGACTCAATTAATTGTGTCAAATAATTATATCAATTGCATCAAGGATCTATGAATTTCAGCAACATGTATAGTATACATTATGAAAGAAACAACATCTCTCTTATTATTTTAGAAAAGTTAAATACTAGCTTGCTTACTTATCAATATTTAATTAATATCATAAAAAAATTCAAAATTAAAATCAATATACTAGATAAAACTAAGTAGCGGCTATGTCTACCATTCCAGGAAATTTTGCGAATTCTTTTGATTTTTTAAGTATAAAAAATTAAAAATAAAAATAAAAGTAATCGTAACTAAAACTAAATCGAATATATTATAAAATCTATAAGTAGAAAACCAATTATTTCTCCTCTGAAGCTTTTGGACAGGCTCGTGGTTCCATCTCTTCAGCTCTTCAGTTACGATAGAAATAAAGTATACGTGACGTTGTTTGTTATTATAGTTGTTAGTAGTGTGTTAGTTGTTATTGTTATTGTGATTGTTGTTATAATATAAAACTGGTTTGAACTTGTTTGAGTTTTGTTTTGATCTTTAAGTAAAATTTGATTGGATGATTGAGGAGTGTTGATCATCTGAAGAAATAAACTGATTTCAGTTTTTTGGGTAAAAAGTTTTTGAAAATTGAAAGTGGCACAGCAGATATTGTTATGAAGATATTGTGTATAAGAGTTAACTTGAAACAAACAGTAGACCCACTAAATTTGTTTGAGTATTTTTGAAAAGTATTTGGCTTAGTGAGTATGATGATAATAATATATATGGTTTTTATAATAAAATAAGAGTAAAGAGAGGTGCAAGAGAACTGAAGAAAAGAAAACTGCCACAGGCCTTTCCTTATGCAACCGAAGGATAAACAAGACTTCCAAACTTGAGTAGACTTCGATTAGAAGTCCCATCCTACTATACCAGTTGTCTTGAAGATTCTTAAGTTCCTAAGCTGGAGCTCACTTGCAATAATAAGAATAAAACATTTTTTCTTGCTTAGAATTACCATAAAAGGAAAATTTTTAACAAAACGGATATGATCAGGAGAGTATTTTTTTTTATATTTATTTATTTATATTTATTTATTTATTTTAAAATATATTAAAAATAATTGAATATAATATACATATAGTAAAATTGAATTTAAACATTTTTCAAAAACTATATTACTATTAAAAATATAATAAATTAATTAAAAATTATATAATTATATATAAAAAACTCTTTCTACTGATTCTCTTGTCAATTCAAAAAACAAATATTCCAAAAAAATTTTATATTTCTTTGTAACAAAATTTATACATATTCTTTAATAATATTATTATTCAAAGACTTTAGTTTTCTTTACTTGTTTTTTTTTTTTTGCAAATAAATATAAAAAAAATCTATTTATAAAATCAAAGGTAAAAATATTTTATTAAAAAAAAAAAAATCTATAAAAACAATATCTTCATTTTTTTCTTCGGAAATTCAAAACTTTAGAAAAAATTATTACAAGTTTTTGGAACTCTTCTTTTATTTTTTTAATTTTTTCTTTTATCTTTTAAGTACAGTGTGAATCAAAAATAATTGGACAGATTTTTTTTATTATAATTTAATAAATAATAATTTAATTAAAATAAAACTTTAAATATATATTTTTTATAATCTAATTAATAAAATATTAAAGTTTTATTAATACTTAATTAATAAATTTATTTTAATCAGTAGAAAACAAGCAGAAACAGAAGACAGAATTACAAAATTCTTACAAACCAGTAGCTCAAACAAAAAAGAACTAATTAAAATTACAGAACAAACTGAAAGGTAGAAAAGAATAAAAGCATACACAGATGGCTCAATGGTCCAGGAAGCAACCAACTAAACCAAGATGGGAGTGGGATGGCACATAATCGACCAGGAAACAGGAGAGAAAGTTATATATTCAGGTTATACAGAACACTTTCCATTGTCAACAAGAGCAAAACTGATAGCAATATTAACTATGCTAGTAACAAATCCAACACAAGCAGAAGTCGAGATACACACAGATAGCCAGGCAGCTATCCAAGGAATCCAGAAAGAAGACAAAGGAAGCTGTCAAATATATAAAAGTGCAAACTGGATAACAAAAACTCTAATTAAAAAAATCATCAATGAAAGACAAGAACGAACAACATTCATTAAAGTTAAAGCACACTAGGGAGAAGAGAACAACAAAGAAGCAGATAAACTGGCAAAAGAAGGAGCAGACAAAGGAGATGAAGCAATCACAACAGCCAACCCAAGAGCAGCAGCATG